TGGCGGGCGGCGTGACAGCATGACATAACATTGTGGCTTGCAGCATCTTGCAGCGTGTCTTCTGGCATTTCCTGACGCGTTCTGTTAAGACCTGATAGAGACCACTGCAACAGGTTAAGCAGAAGGATATTCATATTTGATGGGTGTATTCAGCATAGCTTAGTCCTGCTTGGCAATGCGCGCCAAGGATCTGCTCCGAGCTGGCCTATCCTTCAAATCTTACACAATTCATGACGGGCAGAGCGATCGAGAAGCATGTGCAAGATTCAATCCAGGGCTGCTGGTGGGGCAATGGTCAGATGCGGGCATGTCCCTTGCCATGCTCCTGGATTGCTTGATGATGGCTTGCTGGGCAGGCTGCGGAGACTCAAGCCCTGCAGAAGTCTGTTACAATGCATTTTGCTGTTACTATTGGGTCATGCTCAACGTGTGCCAAAGTCGCAGCACAGGCTCGGACTTCCTGCCTTTGCAAACATCACGCAACATTTGTGCTCTTTGTGCTCACGCCATTTTAGGAGCGTGCAACTGGAGCGAGGAGCTGAGGTTCGCGCCAAACTGCAGAGAAGAGCGTGTCATGGAGCACTTCTTTTCGAAGTGCAAAGCTCCATACCGAGGGTCGCCGTCTCTGAAAGATGGCGTGCATGGCGTGCAGGCTTGTCACTTGCAGCAGTGGCGAGAGTGCCCTCCGAAGGTAAACACGAGCAAGGGCTTTCATAGGCCAGTCCCGGCCAAAGAAGCAAAGCGGATAGCCCGTCAGGCTCTCAAAGATGCAGCGCTGCTTCAGTCCTACATTACGGTCGACAAAACAGCGGACACTGTGCTGGAAGAGCTTTCCTGCCTTTGGGCAAAAGAGGGTCGGAAACTGTTCGCTGGCGAGGGAGCTACTCACGCTACCAGTGATGGCGGCTGGCTTCCTGAGGATGACCTTTTTGCGGCAGAGATCGACGTGACTGAATTCGACGTGCCACCTTCAGATGTAGCCCATGAGGTCACAGTCAATGACAGCAGCGCTGGTGACACCTTGCTAGCTGCCGAGGACCGCTCAGTCTTGGTGGACCAGTGCCACGCAATCATCTCGCAGCAGCTGCAGCCAGACACAACAGAGGACCTGGCCGCAGTGGTCCCTGCTGACAGCGCGGGTGAAAGCCCAGGCTCACAGTTTCGAACGCTGGCTTGTGTCTTGAAGACAGTTGGCTGTCAGCCCGCCTTTGACAAAAGCACGGAAGCTGCCAAGGGCGCCGCTGGATGCCTTCGGCGGCTGAGGCTTCTGCAGGGCGGCATTAAAGCTTTCTGCACGCGAGTGCGGCAAGCTGAAGGAGTCCTCTCCAAAGCCGAGATCAAGGTGGCTGGTGCCAAGAAAACGAACAAGTGGAATTACGTGTCTCATCAGCTAGCCTTGGCAAGGCAGCATGACACGTTCTCTCGGCAGAAGGTAGCTCGTTCTGTGAGCTGGTCACGGGCGCAAGCAGATGCTTGCTCGCTGCTTTGTAGCGGCCTCTCAGCTGCCAGCGGTGATGCTCAGCAGCCACTTGTGCCTATTCGATCTTATCGCCCAATGTCCTGCGAGTCCACGCAAGTCATAGCTTACAGGCACCTCAGGCCGCACAGATTGCTTGGTTTCGCGGTGCTTTGCTGCAGTTCTTGGGCGGAAGAACAGCTCAGTCAACCGACCTGGTCCCGTTTTTGCGGTTGAGAAGCAACTTGCAGGGCATTTGGAAGCTCAAAGCTCGCTCTTCCAGGCTATTCTAGGCTGCTCACTCCGCCCTTGTGTTCGGCTTGACAGTGGAACCCCCTTGGAAATGTCAAGTGACAAAGCCCTTCTTTTTGCCCCCAGTCAGATATAACGGCTTTACCCCGCTCGCTTCATTCCTTCCCATGTTTGTTTGCTAAGGCATGACGGTTTGCACGCTCTGATTGGCCTTGTGGACACAGTTTGGCGCTCTGCTTTGTGCCAAAGCAAGAATGGAGGCCGACGGCTGCGTCAAGGAAAGCCTGTTCCGTGCCCTCTGTTCGCCAGCGGCACAAGCGTTGTGCGCGTGCAGCGGCTTGTGAAGCTGAGGCCGGGCGTATGGTACACTTGCTGCCTCAACCCGGTCGATGTGCTGAGCCCGGTTGGGGCTGTCTTGGGCGAGTTCACTGCGACAGTCAACACGGAGGGCCTGCTGCTTTTGGTGACACTGACGGAGGAGCAGGAGCAGATGCTCAGCAAGCTGCAGAACGGCTTTGAGTGGCCCCACATGCCGGCAGATGCTGCTCCACTCCTGGGCCCTGAGCCAAAAGCAGTTGCGCCTGTGCGTGCTGAGGGCTGGTCCGTGCACCACTTCTGCCGCAGTCAGCAAGGCTACAAGAACATCGAAGCCTTTTTGCTGGAGGTGCCCAGGCGATTTGCCAAGCAAGGCATGACGATCTTGAACACGAAGAGCGAAATCCGCATCAAGATTCATGGTAAGACTGTGCACATGAACTGGTCCATCCTGGCAGCAAGAGCGCCAGATTACTTCTGTGTTGTGCTCAGCGAGAAAAACGGGCGAGATTTCTCGCAGACGGTACTGAGCAAGTTCGTGGGCTTGGTCCCAAATGGGAGTGAAGACAAGACCGCGCTGGCTGCAAGATTGTCAGACCTGCGGGTCTTTGTGGGGCATGTGAATGCCATCAGCGCCCCGTTCATACCAGGCTAGGGGAGGCTTGGTGGACGCTGATGCACGCCGTGGGGGAGTTGAAAAGGCGAGTGAGTGCCTGCGCAGGCTTGATTTGAACACAAAGTTGCTGCAATCCGTGGTTTCTTTCGCGAGAGATGGCCAGAGGATTGTTTGCCAAAAGCCAGGCAGCGCAGTGGTTGTGTTTTGTGAGCATGTCCGCGAGCCATGTGTGCGGATGTTTGCGCACACCTGAGCAGTTGTTATTCGATTCTGGGGGAGGGGGGTCTGCGCTTAGGCCAGGCTGCTGCAAGGAGAATGCAGAGGGCAGGCCAGTGAACAAACCAAACCAGTCACCAGGCTGACCGGGCTTGAGCCAGTATTAACAGGGTGTAGCAGGATGATCGAGCAAGCGGCCTTCAGCCGGATCTTTTGTCCATCCACTGGGAATGTGTTGGCGGTTGCCTTGCGACGACATGCTCGTTGCTGCTAGGCCGCAGTTCGCGCCATATTTGAAGAAGGAGCTAGCGTACGTTCAAAGAGGCGTCTGGGGTGTAACATGATGTCTTTTAAGGTGCTGAAGTTTGCTCTCAATATTGTTTGGGTTGTTTGGATTTGTTTGGTTCTCAAACCAGGCGCGCCAATGCGCATTGGAATCATGAGTGGACTGGAAGAGCAGCAGCTTTGCCTGTGGATGCCCGCCGGATTCCGGGATGCCCATCATTTTCAGAGAAAGGTGACAGCGTTTGAATCAGTTTCTTTATGTTTCATGCACACTCCAAGTCTGGGTTTCAGGCGGCCAAGGCCGAAGCATGTCGGAGCTAACCCAAAACTGATGTGCCATACTGCGTAACTGATCCGCCCATTGCCTACCTTCCCAAGCTTGTAAACATCGAAGCCCAACGCACGGAGTTTGTGCTTGCTATTCTCACTTTCGCTCACTGTAGCCGAAATGCGCGAGCAAGCACGTAGGATTCTAGCAGACAAGATCAGGCAAGCATTCGTGCCAAACATGCAGGAACTCATGTGTGCAGGCAGGTAGGCAGGGAAGCAGATAAGTAGCCCGCCGAGTCGGAAACCAAGCGCGTACTGTAGTCGTGAGCGTTTTACGAAACAGATGAAAACGAGACCCCCCCAACAAAGAAGTGTTGTTTTCGCTTTTTAAAGTCAGAGCGCCCTCGACAGTCGTTCTCCAATGAGATTTGACAAAACACGCGTTTCGCCCACGTGCCGTGCGAGTCTTCCATATTTTCACCCAAAAAGGACGTTATGGATTTTGGGGGCTGTTTGTGTGTCGCTTAGGTGCTGTGCATTTTCGGGAACCTGTTCAACGAATAGAACTCATGGACTCCCCAAGCACGGCACTTGGCGCATGCGTGCAGTGCTGAGCGGGTGCGCGTGAGCGGGTGTGCTTAGCAATTGGCGGGCGTGCGTGCAGCGCTAAGCGGGTGCGCTTGAGAGGGTGTGCTTAAAACTTGGCAGGTGTGTGTGTGTGTGCAACGCTTGCAGGTGTGCTTCTCACTTGGCAAGTGTGTGTCTGCAGTGCTGAGCGGGTGCGCGTGAGGCGGGTGTGCTTACCATGTGGCAGGCGTGTGCGCAAAGCTGACCGAGCGCGAGTGCGCGGGTGTGCTCACCATGTGACAGGCATGAGCGGCGTATGCGGGTGCTCACCATTTGGCGGGCAATTGTGTAGTGCTGAGCGGGCGCACGTGAGCGGGTGTGCTTGCATGTGTGCAGATTTCTGAAATCAGCACGACCACACGTACGGGCATGAACAAGTGTGCGTGCAAAGAACCAACAGCCAGATACGCAGGCAAGCCTACAGGCCCGCAAGCGTGCCAGGCGAGCACCCACGAACCCACGGGCGCAACTGCGCAAGCAGGCGCGCGCAAAGATAGGCAAACAGCAAAGCTCACGCACGTGCAGGCAGGCTCGCATACTTAGCCGCAGGTAAATAAACAGCTATCGCCTAGAGATTCCTGGGAATACATATTTACATGTCTTTGCATTTGTTGTCATCAGTCATTGTAGCGCAACATGGCCCAACATGGATGTTTGTGTGTTTGAATGTGAGTGGAACACTCTGATCTGCCAGGCCTGGCTGCTGGGTCAGAGCTGCGCCGGAGTGAGACAAAACCAATGCGTAGCGTTTTGCAAGAAATTGGAAAATAAAATGACCCCCCCCTACGTCCTTTTTAAAATAAAATTCCCCCCCCTAGGTCCCAATGACTAAGATAGGGGGGATGTGCTTCCAGAATATTGCTATAAAGCAGACATGGACAATTGCCGGGGCTGCCTTGCTTTGCTACTTGCCATATTAGGAAACAAAAATATCCAAGAGTAGTTGCAATCCTCTGAATATCCCTTCTAAATTGGGACACCTACTCAATGCCGGGTTTCCAGTAGGCGCAAGCTCCAGCCGCGTTTCGTTTGTCGCCGGCATTCGCCCACGAGCAGCTTTTCGCCCGAATGGCGAAAGCATGGGGACAGAGCAGCGCACTGAGACGACCCAAGGAGGAGGCCTGTTTGGGTGAGCCGCCTGCTGGGACTGGGCGGGTGGTAAGGACGAATCTGCCCATTTTTTGGCAAGCTCGCCTGGGACGATAAAGGCCCCTTTGGGGGGGGGCTGTTCCCGGTGTATGAATTATGTTTATAAGGTTGCAAAAACACGTTGTTGCAACGTAAAGCCAATGGCCTGTTGCGCGAGGTGGCACCCCGACAGCAGTTTGATTCCCACAAGACACGATTGAGGAACAGCGCCTCATTCGCAGTCGGGCGGACTGACCGGTTCCGGTGAGAAGTCAGACAGACTTTGCCTCTTGGAAGACATCTCGTCTTACTGTTCCTTGTTTCCTTTTAGTTTTGCTTTGTGTTGTTGCTTATTCTTTGTGGGGGCCGCAAAGAGGTTTCTTGTTTGACATGCCGCCCGCGGGTGGGCTCTTTCACGAGCCTCGTGCCCCATCCTGAGAAGGCTCTAAAAAGGCTCATGACGCAGGGTAGTTGACAGAGGTACATGGAATCGAACATGCCAGTGAGTTTGACCACTGCTCGACCGGCAGGGAACTTCTTCTCACCCCGCTTTGCAAAACAACTACGACGCGGGAAGGTGGTATACCAACTGCTGTTGCTTTTGGGTGCCCAAAAAAGCCGAGGGGTTCTTGACTGCTATTGGGTTGGATCTTTAGACACGAACTTGTTAGGGAAATCAAGGGGTCTTCCACTAAACCCACAAAAAGTTAAAGACTTTTTGCAGAGGGGTCAACAGTAATTCAGGTTTGAGGGGTTTTTCTCCACTCAGCGGCCAGCTGATCGAGCGCAGGAGCCCGGCTGGGCGAGCGCGCTTACGAGCAGTTGGAGCTCGTGGCTTGGCTATGGCTGAGGGAAAGATGCAAAGAAACTCTAGGGGTTGATTCCCAATTCTTTTCAACCATTGTTCTTTCCAAAAACCGGCCGTTTTCCCACGGTTTCCCGAGGTTTTCTAGAAAGAAGGATCTCTGGAAAGATTGCGGAAGGGACTCCTAGAAACACGGGTGTCCTTCTCGGCTCTTTGGGTGAGCATTTTTCAGAAACTTCCAAAAGGGAGGGCGACAGGAAGGGGGGGATACGGTTTCATACAACAACTCAGTTGAGTGGTTTGAGACCTGGTCAATCCAGGAGTCCCGTTATTTTTCTACCCGGGCGGGTGGGAACTGGACGCATAAGATGGATGAACCTATCCCCAATTCCGGGATGGAGCGTACTCATTTGGCGGCATCTCCGCCTTGTAATTATTTAAATTCTTCTAGGCAGAACGCTTCAATACCAGGTTTCGGTCTTTTCCTTGTTCGAGGATAGACCTATTTTGGTTCTTTTGCGCGCTTTGCCCAAAGTGACCTTCCCCCCACTTTGGCGGCTCCCTCGTTTTGAGATTCATGGCATCCCATCTCTGAGCCTCGGCCTAAGGTCCTTTCCGTCCCATGCGACGGACAGCATCGCCATACGCAGTGCCGCTCGCAAAAGATACGAAAGCTTGGCCATCTTCGCCGCGTGGCTTCGGTTCTCGTCAGTTTGTTTCTTGTTTTATCCGGAAAGCGGTGTTCCCAATTATTGGTTGCGACGTGTCACCTGTTCACTCCACCTTTGTTGAATGTGTCGTTGGTGTATAATATATATATATATGTATAGATGCGTTGTTGTTGTGTCATTGTATTAATTGCTTGTTTCTATTGTCATTGTTAAACCGTTTGCTGTCCAGGTTGCTTGGTCATTCTGTGCATCTATGCTGTTTGCAAAAGGTTTTAATATAGCTGTGCTTTGTTTTCATTTTTGCTTTGGCTGGGCAAAGCGTAGCTGTTCAGATTTGGGGGAATGCCTGCAGACAAAGGAAAGCTCGAACTTCCGTGTTCACGGGCTTCGGCCAATTGAGTGGTTCCCTGGGTGTGAACCCAACTTTTTACAAGTTTGACATCATGGTGCACAGCAAAGAGGGGGCGTGTGCCAGGGTTGAGCGATTCGCGTGGAGCGCGTTCTGGCGACAAGGCTCCAATCGCTACAGCGCTTCCGTGTGGCCGGCGGCCACGTTGTGGCCGCGCTCAGCGCGTTACAGAAATGCGCTGCCTGGGAACGGGCGCTGCTGGTGCTGCGCGGCTCGGCTCTCGCAAGGCGTCATGTCCAATTTGGAGGAACACTGCTGCTGTCCATTTCCTGGTGGTTTCATTTTTACCCATACCCAGCGAGAGGCGGGTCGACCAAAGTCGAACTTCGATGCTCGCGGGGGGTTGGCTCGGTTAGCTTTTGGTGTCCGAAAGGGCCTTCGTGCGGCCAGAGGAAAGCAAACAAAACTGGGGAGCCGGAGGGCAAGCCCCAAAAGGGGACAACTCATAGCAAGTAGGGATTCTTGAGTTCTAGTTGCTACTGATGGACGAAATCCAATTCGCAGCACCTAAGAAGCCCTGGAGTGATGGTTCCCTTGTATCCAGCGAACCGTGGTTTCTCATGGTTTCAAATTGGGGCAGGATTTCGTCCATCCACTAGGGATAGTGCTCCCGGCAACGCCCTTTAAAAAGAAGCGTCCACGATGTTGAGACAAACCTGTGCAAGAAGGCCAATGTTGAGTCTCCCAGTTATTCAGAGCAGATTTTGTGACATGCTTAGCTTTGCGGATTTGACCTACTTTTCAAGGGATCGATACCCGTTCTGGCCGTGAAAACTTGAACCGGTTTCTTCAAAAATTCGAGGAAGCGTTCACTGTGCTTTTTGTTGTGTGGCACCCACAAAAGGGACGCGTGCCACCAAGGGGCCTGGGACCAAAAGGCGAGGATCCTAAAGGAGCCCGTAGCTGATGCCTCACCCCCAAAAAAAAAATGGTACAACCACCACTCGCTCGCCCGAAAAGCCGGGAAATCCGAGAACACATGGGCCGTGGGCCAAAGTTGCACAACCCGCGTCGAGGGAATGTTGAGGGGACCGGGCGACATAAGCAAGGACCTGTCGACTAGCAGCAAGACTCCTGGGAACCACTGAAAGTATGGGGTGGCTTGTTTCCTGGGAAAAGGGGGGTCTTTCATCCCTGGTTTTGTTTCCTATGCTGTTTCCACCCTCTTCCTTTTTATCGGGGACCAGGTGACTCGAATGGAAGCCCGCGTCAGCCCCATGCCAACGAGTTGACCCTTTCAAGTCCCCGGGGCGTTCCTCGACTTAGATGTTTGATCAAAGTGAAGGGACCCCCAAAATGATGGTTGGTTCCAATTCGGCATTCCATGATGTTTCCAGATAAACCCCATCCCACCAAGAGGAACATCTTCTCAACATCGCCCAACAGGTGATGTTTACATGGGCAAGAACCGCGGAAACCCCTGTAAGGGTTGCCCCTATCAATTCCCCTTTTCCCAAATGCTGGCGAGGCTTGTAGAAAACCCCCGATCTCGCCAGCGAGGCGACGTGCGGAACGACGACCCGCAGCGCCTTTGGCAAGGGCTGACTGTATTTCCCTTTTACACCTGGATGTGTGTTTGTTTGCATTCCACTTGTATTTGCCGGCGGGGGGGGGGGGGGGTAGGTGCAAGGGTGTTCAATCTTGATGCCACCTAGAGCGATTTCCCTTTGTAGCGGTGTCACATGAAATGGCGAGTGTTTCAGGCTCCTCCCCCGTTCTCATACCAGGATCCTCCATCAAGGCCTTCCCACAAACATGGGCGGTTTCCCTTTGACATTCCTTTATAAAAGGCCACCCAGCGAGGATTCATGAGAAGGCCCCGGCTTGCAACATGTGACGCAGGCAAGCATAATTTGCTTCGAGGGCTTTCCCAGGGCTGTCCGGCCCCCTCACCAAAACGAACAAACAAGCACCCAAAAGGAACCCAACTGTGGATGGACGAAATCCTGCACCACCTAGGAAACCCGAGAGTGATGATTCCCCTGTCAATACCAACAAACAATGGTTTCCCATGGTTTCAACCTGGTGCAGGATCCGTCCATCCACAGTATTACGTGGGAGGATACTTGGAAGATAACTTTCCTCAAGGGACCCTGTGTCAGGTGCCATGGCAACGTGGGAGGGAGGGTAGCCCCCAATAGGCCATCTTCGTCTCCACGAGCGTCTCAAAACCGATCCCCACCCCAAAAACAAAATCGAACAAAGGAAAGCACCCCAAACAAATGTGAAACCTATTAGCCCTCCTTCGGCCTGCCCTTGTAGTTGTTAGTCGCAAGAAAGCGCCATCTCAAAACCGAGCGTCGGCAGTCGGGAGGCGCTTGGCTGCCTACAACTCCACCATCAGCGCCTGTGAGCGGAGTGGTCGTTGGCCTTGGGCCTTGCGCCTTCGATCCATTCGTCAGACCGACAGCCGGAAGGTTCCAGAAGCTCCCAGAAGGCCTCAGGGAAGCAAGTCCTCCATTTCGGTGGCAGCTCCCGTGGAATCGCCTGCGGGAGATCAGAAGAAGGCGATTGTCCATAGGCTCGGGCCCACACGTGTGACACTCAAGTTGAATTTAACTTAACTGACTGTTATGCTGGTCCTGGTGTCAGAAAATATCGCAACATTGCGACGTTCCACCTGCCAAGGCTGGTTTTTTATTTGAGGGGCCTACATTCGCGACACTCAAGCTATATTTAAATATATTTATTGGGTTCTTTAGCTGCCTGGGCTGATGCGGGTCCGTGTTCTGCAGTGCGAAACTACGCACAATGGGCCCCTAAACCCTGTCGGTGGCTGTGTGTATGCGTGTTCGTGTGTTTGTTTGCTTGCTTGCTTGCTTGCTTGCTTGTTTGTTTGTTTGTTTGTTTGTGTGTATTGAACGAACCGGATCGTTCAAACACCAGTTACCCAGAGCTTCCAGTCGAACCGAGGTTTAAGGACCTTGGCAAACAGCGGGAAATTGAGAGACCCGCTGAAACACGGACTGACCACATTGGCTTGGCAAAAGCAAGCAGGCACACATATCTCACTGGCGGTCTCGGTACAAACTGGGGGGCCATGCTGCCTAATTCAGGTTGGTGAAAGTAGTGGTTGATGCACACGCTGTAGGTTGTCTGATTGATGGGGGTCAATTTGGTGAATTGCAAGACGTGCTTAGGAACATGTCTCAAATGGGTGCAATGGCAGGGGGTTGAGCTAGGTCTACATAGCCCACATGCACTGCAGACCTGCAAATTAGACTAGATGTACCCCAATCGGAAGCCGAAGAGGGTGGGTACTTTTTCGATTTTTCCAGATCCCCCATATAGCATCCCGAGTAATTTGCCCGATTCGCACAGACACGGCGCCTGTTTCGCATTGAGGCACCTGCACCACGACATGCCGCGGGCGAAGTTGGTACCCGCGCCTTGGTCGGGAACTGGAGTGCTGCTAGTGTGGTTGAGCAAATCCGCAAGATCTGGGGGTAAAACGAGGCCATGATATAGGTCCTTTGCTTGGGGGGCCAATATTTCAGGCATATGTCAAGCAAGATACTTTTGCGCCTCTGGTAGTTGTTTCCCGTGTTGTAGCGGTGCCCCCCCCCATTTTGAACAACCCAGGCAGCAACTCAAAAAGCACTTCTATTGGGTTCTAGCCTCCCACCAGCAAACATTGCAGTGCACAATTGCTCCTGTTGGAGGACTAGCTTTCCTTTTGGGGGAGCCTCTTCCCTGTTTGTAGGATTGCAAATCGCATGCGACTGGACTGGAAGACATGTTTGCTCTCAAAGGGACATGGGTGAGAGGGACCTTCGCCCCACAAGGGGCTGAATGATATAATTTTGCACGCCCCCTAGTTGGCATCCAGCCTAGGTCCCTTTTATTCCCTTCGACCCATGACATTGACTGCGTCGCTGTGTCAAGTTGGTCACAAGATGGGCATCTCCCTTGTAAAATCAAATTACTTCCCTGTATTATTGGGAACAGTTCCCTTTTTGTTGGGGGCAATCATCTTGGGCATTTCTTCCCCTCCCTCTTATTTTTTTCCAGGGGTGCCTTGCAGGACGTCATCTCGTACAGCGCGGGCATCAGCGCCTGTGACAAGTCCGCGCGCTGGCAGGCCGCCCTTGGCTTCCTCGCCGAGATGCGCGCGCGGCGCGTGCGCCGGGACAAGTTCGTGCGCTCCGGCGAGATTTTCAGACGCGTGCTGGGGGCTGAAGGGACGGGGCGGCTGGCGGGACAAAGGCGGGAGAAACGCCGCCAAGGTGAGGAGAAGAAACAATGAGAGGAAGATGCGCAAGACAGAGAAGAAGAAGAGCACAACTGGCAAGAACAGGGCAACAAGAATTACTGTTATATTTGGCAACTCTGAAGACGACGGCCACAATTGGAGCATCACCATTATCATCAGCATCACCAGCATCGTCATAATCATAATAATCATCATTTTCATGGTTTTTATCATCAGCATCAGCATCATCATCGCCATCGTCATCGTCATCATCATCATCAACATCATCATCATCATCATCATCCGCCACAAAATAGTGACGCAACGACTAGCGCAGATGGGCCAATTTGGAGTGTTGGCAGTCGCTGGCCATTGATGAAAGCGCTTGCAAGCAGAATACTTTGACAGGGTAGCCGCCCCCTTTGCAAATGTCGTCGAAGAGCCTTACTAGAGCCAAAGAAGAGGCTCGTAAGTGGGGCATCCAAAATGCTCCTTTCTTGAAACTAGGGAGCCAACCACACCCAAAGAGCAAAGACCACTTCCAGGAGATACATTAGGACCTCCTTTACGAAAGGCTCTCCATCACAACCCCTTTTGGTCGAAGATTCCAACAACAACTTGCGGTTGGCATTTGAAAGCGGACACAGAAGGAAACCGAGGAAACCATCCATTTTAGGGGACCCATGCTGAGAAGCACAATTTTAATGTTCGCCCTGCACATGCATGCAGCTTATCGTGTCGAGGTGCGGAGCGAGCATCAGCGCCTGCGTCGCTTTACTGCAAGATCCTGAGCTCGTGTTAGACGAGTTTGGACTCAGTTGTTCAGTGGCACCCTTTTTCCCCTTTTTTTTGGGGTCGCTGCCCCAGGGTCACTGAACAACTGAGTGGAGGAACAAACAAGCCTCTCCTCCCCCAAAAAAGGTAGGCTTGCTCCGGGAGGTATGCCGAACTTGTCCCAAAAACGAGGGGCCAAAATGACCCACTCGCTTTCAGTATGGTTGATTGGGTGAAAAGGGCTGCCGACCCCTGGTTTAATAGTAACAGTTGTTCGTTTCGTGGTTGAAAGGAACTGAACATTCATTGCACTCAGACGTTCCCCCACCTCCCTTTTCAGCTGTTTTCAGTGTTTATCACCCTATCCCCACCCCAAAGACGAATGCAAAGGAAGGGCAATCCACATCCAGTAAGGAGGCTCTTGATACAGTTCTCATGGTTTCCCTTGGAGCTGGAACCCAACCCTTCTTGACGAGGGCCATTAATTTTCAAGAGGGACCTTATCCTGAGCTTTCATGTGCGCAATGTGTTATTGAAATTTCCGAGTGAGCTCTACAAAAAAAAGTGGCGTGCTCGGCGGGCAATAGTGACATGGACTCCGAGTTGTTTCCTGGGAAAGCGTCAAATGTGTGCTAAATGGTTGGGAGTGCTACCTGATTCTTCCTATGCTGTACTGTGTAGGCTCCCCGATTGGGCAGGGGGGGGTGATCAATATTCCTGGCCCCCATTTGGTGGTGCACATCATATTTGGTGGTTTCCCTGATGGTCATCCCATGTGATGAACCTTTTGATCAAGCTTCTATTCTCCTTGTGGTATATACATTGCAAACGGACACCGCTTTTGTTCCACGGAAGCCGTCTTGGCATGCGTGGCCAAGGTTTCGGGGTTGCAGGATTGTGATCCATTGAACCGGAAGATGCCACAAAGGAAGAAAAACATGGTAAGTTCCGAGGGCTTGTGTGGAGGAGTGGAGGGCACATACCACTCACATGTCGCGTTTCTCAAACAAATGAGGTTCCATTTAATGGTAGACCCCTTGGGAAATGGTGTGAAAGGGAAGCCTCACAGGAACCCCCCCCCCCCTCAATTTTCGTCCCTGTGCCCATGAAAATGCGATTTTGCCGGCCTTGGACTGATCGCTTCTCGTGAGGCCAAAGGAGGCGCATGGCAGCGGGCGTTGCTTCTGTACAAAGCAGCGCTGGATGAAGGCCAGCGGCGGTGGTGGTCAAGCGCGCCAGAGAGTTTCGTGCGGCGTTTCTTTTGCGCGAATGCACAACTAGGCCGTTTTTCGCGCGGATGAGGAGCAAAGATGCGAGGGGTGGGGCGCCTGCCTCCACCTGGGCTCTCTCCTCCAAGCATGTTTGGGTGATTCTTGGGTCGGCGGATATAGAATGGAGTCAGGCTATATGATTTCTGTGTATCCCAGATGTGGGCCAAGCCAAAAACCATGGGCCGGGCATCCAAGTGCGAGGCATCCAATGCGACGCCATCATCTACGGCGCGAGCATCAGCGCTTGTGAGAGGGGAGCCTCGCTCGGTGCAGAGGGGCCTGTTGAAAGTTTCACTACCACCCCCCCAACCACCAAACCCAATCAGTCACCGGAGCAGGTCATACGTATTTTTGGCATTCGGTCCGTGGGCCAACAAATTTGGTGATCACCAAGCATTCTATTGTCCGTCCGACATTGGTCAACCTGTGGGATTGTTAGGGCGTGCCCCCCCTCCTCGTCCAGACCTGCGGTGGTGCCCTTTCCCCGTTGTTTTGATAGGCTACGTGGAGTCAGATGCACTGGCTCCCGCGCAGAATCACCTGCTAACTTTGGGCTTGGTTACGGCCTGAAGCCATCTGCCCATTGGCGAGCTCAACCACGGTGTTTCTGCAGCTTCAAATCCAACATTTGCAAGATCAGGCTGGCTCGCCCAAGGCATGAAGGACAACTAGGCATCAGTTGGTGAATTCACCTCTTGAGCCGCCCTGTCCGTCCACATCACCAAAGTTTTGCTCGAGAAAAGATGTTTTCACCCGCCCCCCAGCAGGTTCCAAATTAGTGGATAGAGACCGAGTCTCCGTGGGACAGGTTGTCCAGGATCAAGTTTCTAATTGCTAAAGCATTTCTTTGTTACGGTGGTCGAAGGGGCGGCTTGACCAGCATCCACGTTCAATGCGTTAGGCCAAATCCCGGGGTTTGAGCCAGTAACGTGTGAATTGCAAATTCATCAGGACAAGGGTGTTGTACGGGGCCTGGGGGCACGAGCCCCTGTTGAGTCGAGGCCCACTCAGGTCTGACCTTGCTGAATTGCCTAGAATTCCTCTTGCGTTTTTTTCCCTTTGGCGGGGACCCCCTACCCCCAGCCACGGCCGAATATCAAGCCTTTGACTTGGTGGATTACCCCTTGTGACCTCCACTGGACCTTTTCAGGGTTCCCCACTTTTTGGAAGTATCTCCCAAGAGCATGACTTGGTTTGCTTTCAAGTTCCCAGCAGCGCTATACTTTGTCAATTTAGGCCGTTATAGTGAATATTTTTTCAGTGAGCATATGGACCCACAGTTGTGGCATTCGTCAAGGGTGCTAACAGTACCTACTAGTTGGGTTGCCAACTGGCTGCTATTGACAACATGGAAGAGGCACCCCTTTTGCATCCGTTCTTTTTTTTTGGTGTTTGTTGTTTTACCCTTTTAGTTAACCTTCCGCACCTTTCAACCCCGAGTGCGGTTTTAAGCCTTGTGCACAAATTTTGCTTTGCATTCCAGTACCCCATGACCGTAAGGATGTCAGAATCGCTAGGTTTTACAACGAATAGGCGCCTTCTTTGGTTTCCCTTCGATCCCGGCGAGAGTTCAGGATACCCTCAAAAGAGCACACAACATCTTAGGCGCCCAGTGGCAGCTCGGTTTGGCGCTGTTCACTTTGGGCCCTCAAACTGCGGTGACCTGCGCAGCTGCAGTGAGCGTGCCCTGAAAGGACCGGGGAAGGATGCGAGCTGGGTCAATATACAAGGGCCTCAATAATTCATCATGATTCTCACTTCCTGAGTTCATGAACTTTAAACTTTTTGGGAAGACCGTTTTAGTGGTAAAAATAAAATTTGGACTTTTTTTGGGCCATCTACTCAGCCAGTGAGTGATGCTTAACACTCTGTATGACTCCACAACCCCATTCTAATCACTTATCTAGGCCCTTACCGTACGGGTCTATGTTAAAAAGGGTCCCTTAAGGGATGCCAGTCGGGTGTTTTTTTTTTGAGCCCAAAATGGGCGGTTTTCGGCAGAAATCGGAGGGAAACCGCTTGTTTGATGGAGCGACCTCTGTTTTCGGACACAGCGACCAAGAACTTCGTTTGTGCTGTACGTATCGCGCGGCTTTGTTTGTTTGGCATGTGTTTCAGGAGAGCTGGGTGGACCAGGGCCCCTGGTGCATAATGTCTAGATCCTTGTTGACGGGAAATGATTGAATGAGGTGGGATGCAAACGGCCCAGGCAAGGAAAGTCTAGACCAGCTGCAAAATTCAATCATCAAATGCTGCAAGTTTGGAAGAAACACCGTGTGCCCAAAAGGCTCCTTTTTCCAAATGCGGCGGAGATGTCTGCTAATGTTCACAGCCTGTGTTGGGGCATGTTGGGAATTCCTCCAGCAACAGACGGTGAGACGTTCGACGCTGGACGCATATTTGTTTGCTTGCCAGGTCTTCAGTGACACTGTCGCTGCTTCCTGTGCAATGTTGACATCGGATGAATACTTCCCTCCCCCTCCCGAGACGGTCGAGAAGTTTTTTCGGCTCAAAAGCAAAAACCTAAACCTGGCACTGAAATAGTCTGGGTGGTCTACTTTAGCATTGGTCGAGGGTCTGGACCCTCATCCCCGAGGCTTCTCCAGGGGACCATGCCTTCTCAATGCTTGGAAGTGTTCTAAAGGGCGCTAAACTCAGACATGAATTTACTTGATGACAGCTTTCCCAGCTGTCCCCCCCTCACACGAAGGTTCAACGCACTGAGTACTCTTTTTCTTTTGGCGCTGTTTCACAAGTAATCTGGGCCCCTGGGACTGGAAATGGAACCCTGTTGTTTTCCCTGTGGTCAAAAACCAGCTAGGATCCCCAAGAAATCAAACAGGGGATCCGATCAGGCCGACGCAGAACCGGCTAGGGGGCACGATGCCCCGAAAAAAAGCCGATGTGCGTTTTTACTGTAAGGTAAGGTACCTCATTTTTGGCCATGGGCTTTTCCCAAGTGGACAGTGCCTTCTCAATTTTTTATTTTTTGCGAAAAATAAAATGCAAATGAGCGAGCACGCAAAGGTTGGGGGAGCACGCAAACCTGGAGAAGGCCCGCAAAACCGGAGAAGGCGCGCAAAACCGGAGAAGGCGCGCAAAATCCGGAGAAGGCCCGCAAAATCCGGACAAGGCCCGGAAAAAAATCCGAGCCTGTTTTGTTTTGCGATGTGTGACGTGCAAATCCGAATCCATGGCTTCTGGTGATGCCTGTGCTGCTGCTGATGCTGGTGCTGCTGCTGATGCTGGTGATGCCTTTGATGCTGGTGATGCCTCTGTGCTGGTGATGCCTAAAAGTATCTAGCCAGAGCCAAGGCTGACAAACAAACATGCCAGCCCTTGAGCTGGCAAGCTTATCTGGGGGAACCCGCAAAATCCAGAGGACGCGTGTCCAGACTTCCGAATTGGGCAATACTACATTTGAATTGGGAATGAGGATCCCAGAGCTCCAGCTGGATTCCAAAAGGAGCTTTCGGTCCTTGTTTCCATGTGATTAGTTTTGCTCGAGCTTCCTTCTGAATTGGATTTGGGCTTCCACCTATTTCATTTAGTATTGTTGGATATGCGTTTCCATTTGATTTAGTATTGCTGGAACTTCCTTTTGAATTTTGATGTGACTGTCCAGTTGATTTAGTATTGCTGGATCATCTCTTTGAATTGAGGATCCAGTTGATTCAATGCTTTTGATTTTTGTTTTGAGTGTCCACTTCATTTAGTATTCAGGAATTTCACTGTCCATTTGATGTAGTATTGCTGGAGCATCCTTTTGAATTTCATTTGGGTATCCAGTTGATTTAGTATTGTGGGATTTTCCTTTCCAATTGATTTGATATTGCTGGCAAGTACTTTTGATCTTGATATGAGTGTCCAGATAATTTAGTATTGTGGGATTTCACTTTGCATTAGATGTAGTATTTCTGGACCCCAAACATGGGTGCGACCCAAAAGGTAGCTCAGGTAACTTTATCAAAATGGAGTTAATAAAAGAAATTACATTTTCAGAAAGCCGCACTTTTTTGGATTTCAGGGAGTTCTGGCTGATGATGTTTGTACTGGCTTGGCAATGCTTCATAGCTGTGCTGCTACGCACTTTCACAAGCTGTATGTGGTTTTTTCTTGCAGGCCGGAGGCCACATTTTCTCGCATGGGGACCCATGTTATTGACATGGGCTGGGCACTTATGTGGGGTGCCTCATGTGACCTTTTCAAGCAATCACGTTTTGAAAGGGAGTTAACAAAGAGAAATTGCATTTTCAGAAAGCAAAACATTTTTTGATTTCAGGGAGTCCTGGCTGATGTTTGTGGGCAATGCTTCGTGGCTGTGCTGTACTAGTGCAAAGCTGGCACTGGCAGTTGCTCTTGGCATTGCAAAGCAAATGGAAGGCAAATATCCGCAAGGTTTAGGTGCAGCAGTGTGGACAAAATGAGACCAGCTGCATCACCAGGGGTTCTTAGGGGTTTGAACTTTTGATTTGGGTGGGGCTTTCTGCGGTCCTATTGACGGGAGTTCCAGTTTTTCAACGCTCGCCGAGCGAACAACTCTGAGGCAAGGCGCGCAAGCTCTGTTTGAGGGTCGAAGGCCCAAGGTTTTGCAAACACAAAATCACTTTGCAAATGAACTTGCGCAGGATGACGAGGAGGTTGCGGCAGCGCTGGCCCTGACCACGCGCTGCTCACCGCCACGCCCGGCAGGCTTGCCGGGCGCCGGACTGGCGGAGATCTTGGCAAGGCGCTCAGTTTGGGTTTGAACAAGCCTCAAAACCAACAGCCCGCAATCTGAACTGCGTCCCCGCTGCTCTGGAGCCGTTCCGCGCGGCCATTGTGGGCGCGTGGCACATGGCTGCTCAAGAAGTTCTCCACCCCCCGCAGGCGCAAGAAAATCGCTTATTCCGTCTCAGCGCGCGCCAGCCCAGGATGAAGAAACCGCGAAGCAAAAGCAGAAGCGCTTGGCAGCCGCAAGGCGCGCCACAAAGGGGCGGCCGAAAAAAAGGACGCAGTAGAAGCGGCCAAGGCTGCGAAGGCCTTGAAGGCGAGCCCATTGCGAAGCCACCCAACTCGGCGCTCCTTCCTCGAAATCTTGCTGGCAAGCAAGAAGAGCCAAGAAGCCGCAGGAAAACAAGAAAAACAAAGCCGAGCGCAAAACGATGAAGGAGGAGGCGCTGAAAGGCAGCAAGGCGCTTAAGGCCAAGCATGGGCGCCCGCCTACGGCGGTGGAGCTACAGGCGGCGCTGTCGCCGCAGTGGGACAAGTGTTTCACAGGTTCTGTGACCATGCTCACCTGTCAGGAACATTCTTTCGCTCGCCGAGCGAACAACTCTGAGGCAAGGCGCGCAAGCTCTGTTTGAGGGTCGAAGGCCTGCTCAAGAAGTTCTCCACCCCCCGCAGGCGCAAGAAAATCGCCTATTCCGTCTCAGCGCGCGGCAGCCAAGGATGAAGAAACCGCGAAGGAAAAGCAGAAGCGCAAGGCGGCCGCAAAAAAGGACGCAGCAGAAGCGGCCAAGGCTGCGAACGCCTTGAAAGCGAGCCCATTGCGAAGCCACCCAACTCGGCGCTCCGTACTCGAAATCTTGCTGGCAAGCAAGAAGAGCCAAGAAGCTGCAGGAAAACAAGAAAAACAAAGCCGAGCGCAAAACGATGAAGGAGGAGGCGCTGAAAGGCAGCAAGGCGCTTAAGGCCAAGCATGGGCGCCCGCCTACAGCGGTGGAGCTACAGGCGGCGCTGTCGCCGCAGTGGGACAAGTGTTTCACAGGTTTGTGACCGTGCTCAGCTGTCAGGAACATTCTTTCGCTCGCCGAGCGAACAACTCTGAGGCAAGGCGCGCAAGCTCTGTTTGAGGGCCGAAGGCCTGCTCAAGAAGTTCTAAGTCGCCTATTCCGTCTCAGCGCGCGCCAGCCAAGCATGAAGAAACCGCGAAGGAAAAGCAGAAGCGCTTTGCGGCCGCAAGACGCGCCGCAAAGGGGCGGCCGAAAACAAGGACGCAGCAGAAGCGGCCAAGGCTGCGAAGGCCTTGAAGGCGAGCCCATTGCGAAGCCACCCAACTCGGCGCTCCTTCCTCGAAATCTTGCTGGCAAGCAAGAAGAGCCAAGAAGCTGCAGGAAAACAAGAAAAACAAAGCCGAGCGCAAAACGATGAAGGAGGAGGCGCTGAAAGGCAGCAAGGCGCTTAAGGCCAAGCATGGGCGCTCGCCTACAGCGGTGGAGCTACAGGCGGCGCTGTCGCCGCAGGCGGACAAGTGTTTCACAGGTTCTGTGGGTCCTGGGCCGGCCGGCGGTTCATGGGTTGCTTAATCCGATTTGGAATTTTTCAATACAAGAGTGCTGCCAGCCTGCCCCAAGCCAATTTGCAAGTGCTGCGTCACAAGCTGACATTTTAGTCCCAAGCACAGAGATGTGCAACAACTAAGCCTCGAATAAGCCGCAAATAAGGTTTTTTGCTGCATATGTGCTTTCAATTTAGCCAGATTACATACTTTCCAAAAAGCTCAAAAAGCCCAGAATAAGGATTTTTCTGCCTGTCTTCTCAAAAATAGCCCTCGAATAAGCCTCTAAGCCTCAAATAAGCCCCCAATGAGGATTTTGTTACACATATGCAGCAGTTTGGCCGCAACTACCTTTCTGTGCAAGAATAAGCCTCGAAGAGGCCCCGTATACGGATTTTGCTGCAGATGCTGCAATTTAGCCCCAAGCACAGACGCGTGCAAAAATAAGCCTCGAATAAGCCCTACACCCAAAGATCAACACACAAGTTGCAAATTGTCGGGTTTCGGATGGATGGGTTGCTGTCTTTACTCCTGGGCTCGGTTCCGCGACATTGAGGTGTGATGTCCATTTGCAGACAGACCGTGATTATCCAACCCCACAACAGTGCCTAGTGCTAGCCTTAGATCAGTGCATGAATTGCAAGTTCTGCAACCCGAGCGGCCTGTTCGGGGTTTAGTGCCGCAAATGCGTTGACCAGCTTCTATAACTCTGAAGACAAATGGCTGCGCGGAAGCCATAACCTCGAAGACATATGGATTGCCCCTTGGGGGCAAGTTACTGCGAAACATCCCCTGCATTATCGTGCTTTTGGAAGTCTATCTTAAGGGTATTTGAGGGGGGTTGCTAGTAGTTGCTTTTGGTTTTTTGGACTTTTTTGTGGCCAGCCGGCTGCATTCCCAGCACTCCTGGCATCTCTGGTATTTTCTGTGTTTGATCAGTTTTGCGTGTCTGAAAGTCTTGAAATGTTTGATGCGAAGATTGGGTCTGTTCCTGCACGTTGCATCCCTTGCATTTCCAGCATCCTCAGCATCACTTCCATGAAAAAATGAAAAAGGTCGTAGAATCCCTTGCACCCCACTGGCGTCGGCGGATCGCGTAGCGATTTCAATAAGCCTCGAATAAACCCCGCATTAGGATTTTGCTGCATGCGTGCTGCAATTTAGCCCAGAGTACACACGAGTGCAAAATAAGCCTCGGATATGCCCCGAATAAGTATTTTGCTGATTATATGCTGAAGTTTGGCTGCAAGTACAGAAGTGTTCAAAAATAAGCCCCGAATATGCCCCGAAAGAGGATTTTGCTGCATGCATGCTGGAATTTAGCTCCAACAAGCCCCAAATCAGGATCTTGCTGCATATGTACTGCAATTTGGCCAGGGTACATACTTTCCAAATGCAAGCAACATGAGCTTCAGCCGGGCGCACGGTTTAGGAGCTTGCTGCGAAAGATGCAGAACTTTAGCGCATGTTCAGACACATTGGAGGCTTACCATTTTTCTGTTAGGAAATTCCATGTAACTTCTGTTTTGGGCTCCAGTTTTCCGCGCGCAGCCTTCAACTGCCACCGGAAGGTTGTGCAAACATGTTTGCGCATTGCCCAGCCCGCCCGCTACATTGTCCTTCCAGCTTGATGAACACAAGCCCCAGTGACAAATCCTTATTCATTGTTTTTTGTTGCTCGGCAGTCAACGCGCCATGGACTCTTGTCCGAAACCCATTTCCCTTAGCCATTTTTTGGGGGGAGTATTGGGGGAGGAGGAAGTATAGACTTTTCTGAATTGAGCATAACATGCGCCAATAATAAAATGCGTTAAGGCAAGCTCTTCTCCATTCTGTTGTTGGAAGACTCGCAAAATGGGATTGGGCATCTTAGGCCGCCCCGCTTGAATATTTGGGCGCCTTCCACCTGGGGGCGCCCCTGAACGTGTGGCAAATCGCTTGGAAACCACCAGTTTGATTGTTTGAATTGGGGCCATTCCATTTCTCACTCCCTGCCTATCGCACCAGCAAGGTCGGCAACGTGCCAAAAAGATCAACCGCAGGTGAGTCACAATCAAAACCCGGGTAATTGCAGGGTAGCAGGGGGCAATCCCAGCCACAAATGGGCGTGGTCGCCTTTTCAATTGCTTACATGGTTCTGGGCGGACCATTCACCAGGTGTGGATTACTCAGGTAGGTCGTAGGTCGCCCATCAAGCGAAGCCGCTCGAGGCCTGCGGCAAGGCCACGCGCTGGAGCGCAGCGCTGCATTTGCTCGGCTGCGGGGCTGCGGCCCCTAGGGCGCATGGGTAGGCAATGATAGGAAAGCAGTCGGAGCTGTTGCTGGATTTTTTCTGTGCTCAACAACCCTCTCACCCTGTCTACATGGAACCTGAGCCACAATCCAAAACCCGGGTAGATGAAGGTTTTTTCTGGGGCAGCCCCAGCCGGAAACGGTTGCGGCCTCCTCTGTAATTCTTTACATGGCTCTGGGTTCACCATGTTTGTACCAGGTTTTGCTTGTGACTCACCTGACCTTCCGGGGTCTCGTGAGAAGACCCCCGAAAGCCAGGCCCCATGCCAATTGGTGGGAGTGTAGCGGGTTGGTTTTTCTTCAGGCAGAGAACGGAATGGAGCCATGATGGTTTCTTTCCTGCCCAGAGGCATTCCTTTTTTTACCTCAGCGCCAAATGCACTGAGTTTCTCTCAGCTCCTTTGAATAATCCTTTCCCCCTAATGCTAAACGCCCCCCCCCTCCCTAATACTAAGTGGGGTCCCCCGGAAAAAAAACTGGTTTTAGCATCAGGGGATCCCCTGTTCGTTGTTGGCTCCAGCTCGAAAGTCGCAACTTTGTAGTGCAGCCGTAGTAAAGAAAACGTACTCCCGGAGCTCCGGCTCGAAAGTCGCAACTTTGCTCCCGGGTCCCCCTAATAGGACTGGAGAAAATACATACTTTAGATTTGCCTATAAAAGTAGTATTCCCGGATGTTGGATTCTCACAAGTTGGTTTTAGTATTAGGGGAGCCTTTAGCTTTACATTAGAGAGAAGGGATTGCTTTGGTCTCATGCTTGGGCCCCGTTGTAACAACGGGGCCCAAAGAGCATCACCATTCAGCAGCTGGCTCCACCCCGGTGGCGCACAAGCAGCATTTGCTCGGGTCACAATTTGATAGGTTTCACACTCCGTGGAATGATCAGTTGGATGGCTCAAAGAACTGCCATTCACTCAGGAAGTGACTCTGGGTCAGTTCTTCTCTTCGGCTTCGGATCTGTGCAATCCATCCCAAACACAGATGGGCCTTGGGACCTTTCTGCTTTGGTCAGGTGGTTTACTTCAAAAGCTTAACCTCGTATTCCTCGGTCGGTTGGTCTATGCAGCCTGAGAAAGGTGGCGGAAAGCGAGTCGGTTCAGGGTTGGAGTTATGGGACACACCATGTAAACTTGCATGGATTGAATTATCATATTCGTTGTGCCTTTGTTGGCTAGGCTTGTGTTTTCTCGTATTTGTGCCAACTCAACAGTTCTTGGCCGGTGACCAGCAATTTGATGAGTGTTTAGACACATGCCCATGGTTTCTCAAAGAGGCGCACTTCGGTGTGCGAGTGGCGTGGCTGGGAACACAAGAGCAGAGTTGTTTTTTGCTAAGTACTCGCTATATATATATATATATAGTATTCAAGGGGAATTCCTTTTCTGTTGCGAAGACACCGAGTAAGCAATTCTAGTGAAGAAAGCGATTCGCGTAGGCAGTCCGCGTAGGTTGTTCAAGGAAATGCCGCGTAGGCAGGTTCGCGTGTTTTACCTTAAGCAAGCTTCTTGTTATGACTTGAGAGCAGCGCCCGGGAAAAGTCTGCGCAAGCACGCCGCGAAGGCGCGTGTTGCCTCGTAGGCTCGTGTAGGCAACCTCCGCGGTTGTGCACACCCGCGGAGGCTTTGCGGAGGCAATGCTGCTAGTGTATTAGGCCGATACACACACCAAAAATATCAACGAAACAATCCTGTATGTGAGACAGCTCTCTGCAGACTTGTGATTGGTGAGCATGATGCTTGCAGCTGACAGCAAAGTAAAGTGGAAAGGGACTGCTTACTTTGCACGCCGCTGCATGTTCCAGTTGCAGCACAAGTGTTTAAGGACATGTGTTGGGAAACAAAGGCTGGCTTTCGGAGGTTGCTGAGGTCACGTTTAAATGTTGACCTGATTACCCTCCCTCCCGTCGCGGAATCTGACTGAAGGCGAGTTCCATATGTTTGATAAATTTGATAAACATGAGTTTCATTTTTGCAGTGGCTTTGGACGCTAAGTGGCGTCCCACGGATTGCGGTTTAGAACCCAGTTCCTAGGGGTACTGACGATCTGAGCTGAGGCGGAAGTGGCCATGTGCGCCGCGATCAGTGCCGCTGACCCAGCGGAGTTGCGCTTGCGGTTTTTGTTTTCTTTTGCCAGCTGAAAGCTATGTGGTCTCTGCCCTGGCAGGTCATTCTTAGGGAAATGGGAATGAACCCTCAACCATTCGCTACTACACCCAAAAGTGGCTGGTGAAGGGTCATTCCGTCATTCCCAAGTTTCTTAAGCAAGAGGGTGCCCTTTTCGGTCTTTATTCAGATCACTAAGCCCCCGCAAAACACAACAAAGGAAAACAACCTGGAAACCAGGAATTACCAGAAACCCCAGCCCTTTGACCCATCCGTATTTAACCAACTTGTTCACAGCCCTCAACAGGGCACGAGGGAAACCCTTAAAACAGCTCATTCCCGACACCTGGAAGGGTCATTCCCCACCTCTCGCACCGAGTTGACCGACCGAGCGGGGATTTTGGCTCCACCAGGCCTGTGCCAGCGCGGCACAGTGGCGCTGGGCGCTGCACCTGAGAAGCTCCACAAGCTTCGCCCAGGAGCCGGGGGCGCGGTTTGAGCGCGGCCGGCCAGGTGAAGTTAGGTCCACAGAGGGAACTTGCTCTTTTCCCTTTGGTGAGCATATGTTGGATTTTCTCCAAAGGGTGGAATTTACGTGGTGTCCATTGAATCGATGGAACTCTTGGAGGTTTCGGTTCGCAAGAAGAGGGGTTTTAGTGGACACCACCGAGAAGTTGCAACTATTGGAAGGGAAATCGAGTGACCCCTGAAGAATTGGCATGAGGTGGAATTTGGGCGGGCTTGGGGGTTTCTTGTGTCGGTGTTGCGCAGATTTGGAGCAAGTTCACGACGGAACTCAGCAGCAGCCGAAAACCGTTTATCCCCCAGGGCCTAGGGAAAGCAAGAAAACTCAGGCACACAGTAGGGGAAAAGATGGAAACATCACCCTACACTTGAGGTTCAACCCACCTTGCAATACATTCAAAAGTCTGAGTTCACCCCCAAACCCCACCGACTTTGCAACTAGAGCTCAGACTCTGGCCTTTGGCGGGCGGAACCAGGTTCCATCCATCTTCTGGAGGTTTCGGGGCAGGGCTTGGGGCAGGGGGCGGCCGGCAACGGCGCCATCAGCGCCTGTGGCGACGCCAGGCAGTGGCAGCTGGCCTTCGATCTCTTGGAGGTGCGGCTGGATCTCAGCTGGAGCTCGCTGCGGTTCAACACCTCCCCCAGAAGTCCCGCCAGTAGTCGCTTCGTTTCTCCCCTTTAGTGCATGTTTGGTTCAGAAGGGTTTCTTTCTCCTAAATCCCCAGTTAGGTGCCCTTTCTCACCCTTTCTTTTTTGGTTGGGAGGGTTCCGAACCCTACCACAATAGACTACAGAAAAATAGTTGGTACCCTTATTCTAACCTCTCTACTGGAGGACCTGGACACGCTTGCCGAAAGCGAATCGACAATTTGCTCGCTGGCGCGATGGGGATCGGAAATGAACCCAGGCATTGGTCCCCTGAAAGGAAACCACAAGGGAGGGTTTATAGGGGTCATTCATTGCAACAAGTGAAGAATGTGACATTCCTTGAGATGTACTATCTGCACAAGCCTGGATCAACTTTACCTGGATGTTGTGTGTTAGGCAGCAGTTACTTTAAGGTAGAGATCATTGTGGTCAGCGAGCTGTTCCCTACCAGTATTTCGCTCTTTTTCTCTCTCACTCTAAGTCCCTTTCCCATTGGTTGCGTTCCTCTTCTTGTTGGACATTTCGGCAGAGGTCATCCCAGCAACCAAACCGACTTGCCAGCCAACCAAACAAGCGTGCAAAGAAGCATGTTGAGCCCCCAGCTCCGTTAGAATCAAGCAACGGACCGAATGACTGCTCAACACGACTTCATGCAGGAACGCAGCCAGGAGTCGAGAAGTGCACAGCCTAAACATCCAGCCCAGGCCTTTCTGGTTCTTGGTGTTTATTTACATTTCCTGTTGGGTTACAGAAGTAGTCATGAATCCTGTGTAGGCCGTGGCAACCTTCGGAATCAAATAATTTGAAAACAACACAACTAATGGGCCCGAAGAACACGGAACAAGTGGGTCCAAAGCTTTTCAACGCAACATGAACCCGCTTGGTTTCTCTTTCGTTCAACAGTTGCTCATGCCCTGTTCCCCTAAGCAGAGGACCTGGGCAGGTTTTGGATTCGGAGAGCGAGTGAGTCACCGATTTGCGCTGAAGCCTTCTACCGTAGTCCTCCTGATCCCTCCTGGAAGCCCTTCAAAGAGCCCAAAATCTGATGGAGGCTTGGCAAGCCTGCGGCTTTTTTGACATTTCGCGTCAGGAGATGAATGCCTCTCAGATAAGCACCCGCACATCTTACAACGCCTCTCGGCGCGGAATCGGTAGCATCAATGGGACGGCTTGAAGGATCTTGGTGTGAAATTGCAAGCAAACAGCCCTGGGAAACGAGCAATGTAGGCAAGCTGATGGCCCTTTACGTTGGAGAGTCTTGGGAATTTCTTGCGTCAAGTTGTGGACAGAGATTGGGCCAGTCATATGGGCCGGAATCAAAACTCAAGTGAAGCTTAAGGGACAGTCCCAACAGCAAAAGTCGGTGAGGCCCTTGGAATTCTTTGCGCCCGTGGCCCTTGAATGCCAGGTTTTGATGGTGACTCTCTGCACATATTTGGTGCAGTGTCTAGTGCTCGTTTTGCTGTGGGGTTGGCAACCCAATTGCCAAGAAGCAGAAGGATCACCCAAATGCTTTTCTTTGGGGAACCAGTAATTTGGTCAGCATTCAGCTTTGCATGTTTTGGTACACGTTGACGCTTCGATTTGTGAGTCCTAAGCGAGTGGGAACCCCCAAAGTGTTTGACTTTCTGCAACATTGCCAAAGGTTAGAAACCAAGGGAATCCAACAAGATGCCTACAGGCTTTCCCAACCCCCAAACAAATCCAAACATAGGGGAGGCGCTTTCTGTGCATTTGTGTCTTTCAAGTAGTCCAGCCGCAGTTTTTTTTTTGGTGCAGAAATCCACCAAGCGAGGCCGCGATCAGCGCGTGCCACTGGGACATGGCCGTGTGGCTCTACGCGGACATGCGGAGGGCGGCGATATCGCCGGAGTCATGGCGTTGGTCCTGGTCCTTTGCTGGATTTTGCAGGTGTCATTATTTTGACCGTTTTTAGGGGTTATCAAAGTCAGAAACTGGGGGTTGTTTCCCTTTAACCCACGGGGGGGGGGGCTTGGTGGGAGTTGGGGGGCAGGGGGGCAGGGGGGGCTGGGTCTTTGCCTTTGTGACAGGCGGCTGAGTTTCCACCTTTTTGTGGCTTACCCACACAATGTTGATTTTTGATCCATCTACTTTCACCCTGGTGTAGATGAGTATGAGACAGTACGTCCTGTAGCCCAACATCCTCGCCCTACGGATTTTGCTGGGCGCCTAGAATTGCACGTCCACTTTCGCTTTTGTGGTTGGACTCTGGCATTTAGTCTGCACCCCCCCCCACTCCCTCCTTGAGATGCGGGGGATGACTGCAACTCAAGTAGCAATTTGTCAGTTCTCCCACTTACCAGCCGGAAGATATCCACTGTGCAGTCCCAGATGGAAAATTGCGCGTTGCTCATGCTATGTTTGTGCAGGAAAGGGTGCCAAGAATCGGGGGCGAAGGCAGTCGCACTCCCCTTGCAAACGAAGTGCTGTATTTCCGGTTCGTGTTGCCTAATGGGGCCGTTTGTCAAGTGCTGTGTCAGAGAGGTACGGTGGATCCCTCGAATTTTGCAGGTGAACCAACCACATCAAGCCACACACTCCAAGCAATTAGCTGTAGATTGCGAGGCTTGCTTTGTTCCCTCCCTACCTGTCACTCACTTCCTGGGTTTCTGGACATCGCACTTGTTTGGAAAGCCGAGTTTACACCTTTCTTGGCCAATCCATGCAGGAGGTGAGGCAATGTTTGGGGAATCATCCGCAAAAGTGTCAGCAAGCGCATGGGCGACGTGGCTTGGGCGATGGCCCCCAGTGGCCTAGGACACCATCACTTTCAATGCGCTGCTGCAATGCACGGAGATCCTTGGCTGCGGCCGGTCTCGGACGGTGGGTTCTGTTGGTCCATTTAAGCATCACTTCTACGCCTCTACGCAACATTTCCTTCAGGGAATTCCTGTGGGGGGGGGGTGGTCCAAGAGGGGGGGTTACTAAGGCGCCCAAAGTAACCCCAAAGAAACCTACAGTAGTGCTCTCAACCCACGGCCCTTGTACCCCCAGGGATTCCAAAACTTGAGGTGGAGTGATGTTTAAAATGGATCTATATAACAGTGAGGGATCCGTTTGTGTGATGCGCGGCAAGTTGACCGGATCCGGGTGTCCGGGTTAGATTTTCTGAAGTTCGGATTGACAAATCTGTCCGGAATGTGTTGAGCGTTTCGCGAAATGTGAAACAACACCTGAACAAATGTTTTCAGTGCGCCCACATGGGAGGCAAGCTGTCATGCCCTTTGGCCAAACAAGCAGGTCGTTGGGATTTGGGGAAAGGAATTCAGGGAGGGAGGGTCAATTCCATACAGAAAGTCTTGCTGATGCTCAGCAGGAATGACCACAAAAATACCCCTTAAAGGAAACCAGGACCAGAAGTGATGGTTTAAAAGGGTCATTCCCACCTTTATTGCTGATACCCAGGGGTTTTCTTAAAGGAAACCAGGACCAGAAGTGATGGTTTAAAAGGGTCATTCCCACCTTCCCTGCTGATACCCAGGGGTTTTCTTAAAGGAAACCAGGACCAGAAGTGATGGTTTAAAAGGGTCATTCCCACCTTCCCTGCTGATACCCAGGGGTTTTCTTAAAGGAAACCAGGACCAGAAGTGATGGTTTAAAAGGGTCATTCCCACCTCCCTCCCTGAAACCCAGAAGTGATAAAAGGGTCATTCCCACCTTGGGGTTTTCTTGAAGGAAACCAGGACCAGAAGTGATGGTTTAAAAGGGTCATTCCCACCTTCCCTGCTGATACCCAGGGTTTTTTTTGAAAGGAAACCAGGACCAGAAGTGATGGTTTAAAAGGGTCATTCCCACCTTCCCTGCTGATACCCAGGGGTTTTCTTAAAGGAAACCAGGACCAGAAGTGATGGTTTAAAAGGGTCATTCCCACCTTCCCTGCTGATACCCAGGGGTTTTCTGAAAGGAAACCAGGACCAGAAGTGATGGTTTAAAAGGGTCATTCCCACCTTCCCTGCTGATACCCAGGGGTTTTCTTAAAGGACACCAGGACCAGAAGTGATGGTGTAAAAGGGTCATTCCCACCTTCCCTGCTGATACCCAGGGGTTTTCTGAAAGGAAACCAGGACCAGAAGTGATGGTTTAAAAGGGTCATTTTCACCTTCCCTGCTGATACCCAGGGGTTTTCTGAAAGGAAACCAGGACCAGAAGTGATGGTGTAAAAGGGTCATTCCCACCTTCCCTGCTGATACCCAGGGGTTTTCTGAAAGGAAACCAGGACCAGAAGTGATGGTTTAAAAGGGTCATTCCCACCTTCCCTGCTGATACCCAGGGGTTTTCTGAAAGGAAACCAGGACCAGAAGTGATGGTTTAAAAGGGTCATTCCCACCTTCCCTGCTGATACCCAGGGGTTTTCTTCTGTAAAAGGGTCATTCCCACCTTCCCTGCTGGGGTTTTCAGGACCAGAAGTGAGGGGATTCCAGGGTGCTGACCCAGGGGTTTTCTGAAAGGAAACCAGGACCAGAAGTGATGGTTTAAAAGGGTCATTCCCACCTTCCCTGCTGATACCCAGGGGTTTTCTTAAAGAAACCAGGACCAGAAGTGATGGTTTAAAAGGGTCATTCCCACCTTCCCTGCTGATACCCAGGGGTTTTCTGAAAGGAAACCAGGACCAGAAGTGATGGTTTAAAAGGGTCATTCCCACCTTCCCTGCTGATACCCAGGGGTTTTCTGAAAGGAAACCAGGACCAGAAGTGATGGATTAAAAGGGTCATTCCCACCTTCCCTGCTGATACCCAGGGGTTTTCTTAAAGGAAACCAGGACCAGAAGTGATGGTTTAAAAGGGTCATTCCCACCTTCCCTGCTGATACCCAGGGGTTTTCTGAAAGGAAACCAGGACCAGAAGTGATGGTTTAAAAGGGTCATTCCCACCTTCCCTGCTGATACCCAGGGGTTTTCTGAAAGGAAACCAGGACCAGAAGTGATGGTTTAAAAGGGTCATTCCCACCTTCCCTGCTGATACCCAGGGGTTTTCTGAAAGGAAACCAGGACCAGAAGTGATGGTTTAAAAGGGTCATTCCCACCTTCCCTGCTGATACCCAGGGGTTTTCTTAAAGGAAACCAGGACCAGAAGTGATGGTTTAAAAGGGTCATTCCCACCTTCCCTGCTGATACCCAGGGGTTTTCTTAAAGGAAACCAGGACCAGAAGTGATGGTTTAAAAGGGTCATTCCCACCTTCCCTGCTGATACCCAGGGGTTTTCTTAAAGGAAACCAGGACCAGAAGTGATGGTTTAAAAGGGTCATTCCCACCTTCCCTGCTGATACCCAGGGGTTTTCTTAAAGGAAACCAGGACCGCAAGTGCTGGTTTAAAAGGGTCATTCCCACCTTCCCTGCTGAGCACCGGAAAGAAATCAGCCAAAATGTCCACAACCAGGTTACCATGAGTGATGGTTTACAAAAATCATTCCCACAGCCAGCCAAATTTCAACAACCATGTTGGCTGACGGTTGAGGTTGGGGGTTTTCCTGGTAGCCTTCTGAAAGGCGCTGGCAAGTGGCGCTGGCGCTTTTGTGGGACATGGAGCGCCTGAAGGTGCAGAAGAACCTCATCACTGCCGTGCCTTGGAGAAATACATGAGGTGCAGGCAACAGGTCCAGTTTGTTTTGGGAGGGATGTGGGGGATGAGATGTATATGGTTACTTCCACAAATGGTAGCAACATCGAATTTAGACTTCTACCCCGCCTGACCCATCCTGACCCCCTTCTCGCCAGGGAAGTGTTCAGGTCCCCTCAAGCAACCCCCGCTTGCGCAATCCATTGGCTTGCTCCGTACCCTGAGCCATGTTGGATGTTGGGGGCTTACAAATTCTATAGGGATGGGTTTGGAGGGCGCCATCCTCCGGTTTTCCGCCAGGGTTCAAAAGCCAAATCGCCCATCCTACACCTTTTTCAGGTTAACCCTTGTCGGGGAGGGTCGGGCACTGCTACTTTCACCCCTAATTCGAAAATCGATCGCTTTTTGGTACCGCTTGCCTTGATTCCCATGGCGCGATTGAGGCGGCGAGTCAGAAGCTGTGCGAAGAGCGCCAGATGCCGAAGACGTCCCCGCAGAACGCGCCACGCGCCAAGAGACTCGACTAAAAAAGGTGAACAGCAAAAGGGAAGTCCCCAACAGCTTCAAGCAGGGCGGCTTTTACCATGCCTTGCGGTTTGCTGGTATCTTCCATCTTTCATGGTAGCTGTTTTTGTTTGCAGCCACGTGTTGACAGTATTGGGCCAGTCCACTGAGGAATTGAGAATGTTCCAACCTTTGATTTCAAGGGCTTGGCAAACTTGGGGCAAGTGGGGGGATGCGCTTTTTGCGCTTTACTCATGAAGTTCCCGTTTGTGGCGCACCTTTGGTACTTGTTAGTACTTGTTCACTTCTGACCCAGGCTTGGATCCAATCATTCCGCACCTACACCGCAATAGAAGGCGCTGACTCTTTCCTAGTATGCGTATGCCCGTCTGGTTTATACTTAACATGAAGCTGTTCCACTCCCCCATGCTAGTTCCAAATAGCCCATATATTTTTTTAAATTTCTATGAAAGCTTTGAATCGCTTTTTTCTTTTTCGAGCAAGTCTAAGTAAGAGACTTTCTACCACCCCAACACCGCTACCCCCCAGGGTTTCTTCCCACCTCCAGGCATCCACGGTGCCCTTTTGTTCCCTCCACTTGCGAGCGGGAACTGCCGTTTTTCTAGGGCTCGATTCCCCATTATTTTCAACCATCGTTCTTTTCAAGAACCGGCTGCTTTTTCCGGGTGTTTGGGGAATTGGAAGCTACCCCTAGGGTTTTGAACTCCGCCTCTGCCGGGGGATCTGGGTTATGGGTTCTGTCCAGCCGCCCAGGTTCTCGCTCCCTGCCTTGCTACTGGCCATTGATCACGGGCGCCCAGATGGCGTTGGAAGGGCTGGATGGGCCCGGGAGATGGGGGAGCCGAGGTCATTTTGGGAACTCCAGGCAGGCCCTGACATGGGTGGCTTTCTTTGGTGAGACCTGGCTGGGCCGTTTTTTGTGGTCCCGCCGAAAAATACAAATAGGAAATAAAGTAGAACAAAACACACACACAGATACAGACACAGACACGGACACAGACACAGACACAGACACAGACACACACACACACACAGACACATGTGGTTTTCCTGCTGCTTTCGCTTGAACACCACCCCACAGAGGGTACCCTCAGGAATAGACACATCCATTTGTGTGGATTGTCCCGCTTTCGAGCTGATTTTTTTTCTGGGGAAGGGGCATTAGCCAGCAAGTGTCTTGATAGCGAAGCCACAAGGTCAACTTCCCTCCAATCCACAAAGCTGACAAGATTTGTCAACCGACAGAACCAGGGTTGTGGGAGCACGTCTGTGATACAAGGGAGTCCCCGATTCACATGGGGGGTTCGTCTTGGGAGGCCCTTGTATCACAGAAGTGGTCATTTCCCACAGCCCTGGACAGAACCCTCTTGGGGAAGCCATTCCACTGGAAAGAAGGTTCCCGCTGGTGCACCCTGAATCCTAGGGATGGCCAGCCCTTGTTCTCCGCGGAAGTCCACCGAAGATTGGTCACTTGCTGCTGGTGATGTTTTGCCTTTCCCAGCACAGCTTATATAAGGGGGAAATGGCCGAAGCAAATCTGGACGACTGAGCACAGTTACGCAACTCAGAACGAGCTTGCCGGGGGTACAATGAGCTCACCCATGATTTCTGGCTTGAATGATTACGTACTGGTCAAAAAAAAAAAAAAGGTCAACAGGCTCACTGAACAACTGGGGTAGGCAGTTGAGCAAATGGTGATGTCTCGAGTCTCGGCAACGCTGAGGCGCAGCGTCTCGATGAGCTCGACCCCTGGTTTGGCAGCGTTCGTTGGGTGGTGCATGATGAACTCCCGCTGTTGCCGTGGACGCGTAGAGACGTAGAGGAATATGCAGGATCGAACCCTCAAGACTCCCCAAAAAAGGCGGCTTCAACATTGACCCCCACCCACCCCAACAAAAAAGAAAGAACAAGAAAAAGACAACACACGGTAGTCTATGACCAATGTTCCAAAACTGAATCAAGCCATAGCAAGGGGAGCCACAGGAAGGTTACACCCCACATGGAAACAGCCAGGGACAGCGAGGGGGCTCACTAAGGTGTCCATGTCCTTCAGGGTGATTTCAATGTATTGACGGCTTATTGTACATGTTTAGAGCCAGTTGTCGTGGAAACAAGCTACACGAAAGTCTATGGGAAGTTAGCCTATGGCCCACGAGGAGCCTTCCTGTTGGCTGATTTCTAGCTTGCCAATGTTCACTGAGTTTCTTTCATTGGGCGAAGATTGAAGGGGAAGTGCAAGAATTATGTAAGCATGCCCTCGGCTTCATGCACCCCTGAGAATATACCCCGAACGCCTCAACTTTAGACACACACACACACAGCTCAGAAGCCGGGAATGAAGTCTGACTGCTCATGATCCCATGTTTGAACCCATGATGTCCTGGTCACTATAAACCCTGGCTGTTGACTGAATTGATTGACCACTTAGTCACGGCTTGGTTGTGGGAGAATCCATGTTCCAGGGGTCCAAATGGACGTGGGCTGACTGGGTCCATACAAGGAGCCTTCAACGAAAAGAGGTTTCTCCAGATTTTCCCTTTGCCTTTTCCAAGGCAATGGTTTCCGTCAACGGGGACAGTTCTGGCACGTTTACCCTCCCCAGACCTTTTCTCTCGGTGATCCTTTACCCTGAAATGTTGGGATCCAACATTTTCAGGGGCTGGTTGGTGCAATAAGACCTTAGAACAGTTTTCAGGGCCCGCCCTTCGATTGGCATAGCCAGCGGTCCATGAGTCTTGATGAGAACAGTTGCCGACATGTTGCTGTGATGGCTGATCCTCCCACCAACCAAGACAGAGCCAATCAGAAACGGAGCGTCCGCGGACATGTTCGTGGCAGGGTAACTTATAGCCGTGGCTTTTGTGGGTTATTCGCCAGGCTTTCTCGCCTAGGCCCTCGTCTGTAGTTGAATGTTGCGCGAAGCGGCTCAAGCGTCATGTGACCCGTGCGCAGCTTCCCGGAACGGGCCGAGCTGGTCCGAAGCGCCGAATGGTCCCAAGCCCGAAGGATTATTACCAGGCGCCTCGGCTCCATACCCGTGGCCCAAAAACCAACGTCTGGGAGTCTGGGGGTTGCTGAAAGGAGGCTTCCCCCCCTCTTTTTGGGGTCCGCCGGTTTGGCAAAACCCGGCCCCCGTTTGGGATCCGCCGTTTGAGACAAAACCCCATATAACGGATGTTGATGCTGTAATTTGTCGGGGCTGTGTTGTTCAGCGCTGGCTTGTGGGTTCCAACGCTTGGCAAAACCCCATGTAACGGATGTTGAAACTGTTAGTTTGTCGGGGCTTTGTTGATCAGCGCTGGCTGGGGCCATGAAAGTTATTGGTTGTATCAAGCCTCAAGGGTTGGAACAGGTGGTAGTTGAACCTCACTTGCCGAAGGCCGACCTTTGGACCTTTTGGTTTTCCAATGTTGGTCCATGTTTAGTTCAACCCTAAACCTCTCTTATTTGTGGGCCCTTTGGGCAACTGAGGAACATGTCCCCTTGCCCAAACAGTTTTGCTCTTGGTGCTACGGAATATGATTGAAGACCACCTTCCAACGCCTTTCAACCATAGATTTGAGCGAATGGTTTCTTTTCTGGGGCTGGCGTTGGGGCAAGCAAGTTGAGCATCTTGAAGGAACCCTCAGCAGAAGCCTTTCCCTACCCCCTTACGCCATGGTTGGGACACGCTGCCTTGTTGGGCCCACTTGTCTAACGCCTTTTCATGCATGTTCATTCGCTGGCATGGGTATGTGGTAGTGGGGAAAAATTAGCAGATTCTAGATGGCGATATGCAACTTGAGCAGCGCCCAACATCGTCTTTGGCCGTTTGAGTAGGTTGCTCTATTATCTGGCTTCATGAAGGCAGTAAGCCCCATAAAATCAACATTCTCAATTTGGTAGGATCATGCACCATCCAAAGGGCCCATTGTCCCAAGGGCCAGGTTTCAGCTAAGGTCCTCGGCGTGAACAAGGATGCCTCCGACACCGAGCTCACGAAAGCTTACCGGAAGCTGGCGTTGAAGCACCACCCTGATAAGAACAAGGACCGCAGAACTGTTTGGAACCCTTTTTTGTTTCTCCCTCACCAGTGAGTTCCATGTTTTTCCAGCTGTTGGTTTGGCCCTGCGTGCTTTCAGGGGTTTGGACGCAGGACAACCCTGGCGAGTCAGAACAGACCTTCAAGCAGATTTCCGAGGCCAAGAGCTGTTCGAGCGCGCTTGTTGCTGCGTCACGTTCATGTCAGTTGGATTGACTGACATGATGAACAAAGAACAGACCTTGATTCTAGGCTTAGGGCCGAACCGTGAGCAAGTTCAAGAATCCTCCAACATAGCGTCAGCATAGCAACCAGCAGTATTTCCAGGAGATTGATTTTTAGCTTATCGATTCACAGTTTGACGCATATCAGTTGATATCAGCTTTTAGAGCAAAGCCGGAAGAACACCCTGCATGTTTCGAAGTCGTCTAGTTTGAGCGAGACGCCGGTTTTCTAAGCTTGGTGTCACAAGTTAACCTGGGTCCGGTACGGTGACATCCTCAAAGTTGCCATTGAAACAACATTGGCAATTTCCATTTAACACTATGGCGATTGCAGCGTTGCAGCTGTTGAGGTGGCGTCAATGACGCGGCATGAATCACATTGCTCGAAACATGTTACGATATGCATGAACACTTGACCCCTGTGTAACCTTGCAACTTAGGTATCGAGAACCATCTCAGAATGCGTCGCTTGAAAGTGGCGACCTGTCAGGCTGCATTGGCGGTGAGAATTACGGTTCGGGTCGGGGAGGTTTTCCAGTCGATCTCCCTCCGGCAGTCCGAGGAAGTCAGCTTCAGTTCTACCAATATTGTGTTGGGTTTGTCAACCTAGGCCTTGATTGAACCTTTCGCAGCTAAGTGGCACGCTTCCCTGCCAAAATCAGATTTTCTGGGTTTCTGCGCTGCTCACGTGTCAAGGCGTACGTGGCACACTTGCAACAACATTCCCAAGAGGAGCATCAATTTCCAAATGGTGGCCTGTGACGATTATGGATACTCGTAGTGTCACAGTGTCCCATCTCAAAGCGGTCCAGATGACTTCTTTAGGGTGAAAATTCTGATGACAACCCCGGTTGGTCTAAAAGCACCCCTGAAAGTTTAACATCTATGTTGAAGCACACCCCACCAGAAGATCCTCCAAACCAGGACACCTCGCCCCCATTTAGGTTGCATGGCAACACAGGGGGCTACCCAAACCTCACCCGAATATGCGCTGAGTTGGAGCATCCAAATCCTGGTTGAGTAGGTGTTTATTTTTATTAGTAGTATGATGAATCATGAATATAGATGTATCCTTTCAGGATCCCTGTGAAATCCTGGGTTGCCCCCCTGCCTCCTTGAAAAAGCTTTGGAGGCCTACGACGTGCTGCACGACCCGTCCAAGCGCAACGTGTACGACAAGCTGGAGTGTCGAGGCACGCCTGCAAGGCCTGCAGTGGTGCTGTCTGGTTTGTCTCCTTGGAGTTTTATCTTTGGAGCTTGGGTCCCTTTCAAAGCAGGTACCAAAGCAAGTATTGGGGGCTTGGCCTTTTTTCCCTGAAGTAAAGCAATCCACGCGGAGACCTGGGAGGTAACAACTGGATCGATTTCACCACTGGAAGTGTTTTATCATTTTTTCCAGGGGACTGAAGCAAATGGATGACTATTAAACATTAACTGTCGCTTTGTTCACTCAGGTGAGTGGGGCTTACCCTCCTGAGCCAGTCTCATAGTCGAAACTTAAAAAAAAAAAGAATTTTGTTGGGGTGGGTGGATACACTTGCGGTGGGCATTTGCCAAGCAAAGCACCAATCCGACTAGGTTGCCCGCATCTTTGTCTTCATGTTTCATCAATCAGGTCGGGTTCCTCGGAGGAACCTGTGAGAAATTGGTGTTCTTTGCCCAGACTTGCACATCGACCTTTCATTCAACTGCTTTCCCAGTTTTGGCCATCCTTCCGCCATAGTTGTGAGAATTGCCTCAGGCAAGTCAAGCTAGCTTTTCCTCGAAATTCATCGTCCATGCCATGCCATGGAGAACGGTCTACTCCTGCGCCCAGGAGAGGACATATCGGTGGGATGTCTCCGGTTTATGACGAAACGTGGCTCGGCTGGGGCTCCTTGGAGCCGTAGATTGCGCAACGTTACGCCGTTTGAGGCGTTGGTGTATGTCTCAATGGGCGCCTCCCCCGAAGAAACAACAGACACAGCCAGGCGAACTTGAAGTTGCTCCCAGCCATCCCCTTACCTTCACACTTTTTAGTGTTTAGTTCTCATTCCCTGTAGATGTGTTCCTGTAGCATTGGGATTTGGAGGGACGGAATGCCATCCCTATTTGGGCCCCGCCTCTCAGCCCCTCCCGCCTATGATGATTTTCCCACTGCTTGGGACGAGCAATGGCTGCGCAAGCAGTGCGACTCTTGATTCGCAACACGTGAGACGGAGGGCCTCTACTATGCAGATCCTGCTGTCTTTCCTGAATGACTCAAATACTTTGACTGTCAACTTTGACTTGCCACACACATGTGGGCGTGTTGATTTGGCACGGCATTGCAGTGTTCATGTCCAGCCACTTTTTGAGGCGGCCCCCATGAATTTTCACAGCCATTTAACTAGAAGCCAACACCTGAGAGGGGTGGCCGGTTTGGGGCGCTCCAGCTCCATCCGGGGAATCCGATTCATGTGAGTGCAGGCCTGACAGAGGTGGGTGGGTGCGTCTCAGCAACACTCAAAGCGATT